TACGGTGATGGAGGAATTAATACACAACTACATAAATATTGAAACTCGACAGCACTGTTTCGTAAGGTACAAGTACCTCACTCATCAGGAGCTTTATGTTTAAACGTATCCATTTTGAATTGTATTTATAGTTTAATGGACGACGTTACTGAACAAGGAGAAGAGGGAGGTGAAGCCAATGAGGATGCAGGGGAGGTCGAGGGGGATGGCGTAAATGATGCGGATATAGATGAGAATGATGGTGATGAAGGTAATGATGAGAATGATGGAGATGAAAACGATGATGGTAATGATAATGATGAGGATGATAATAATGGAGATGAGAATGATGATGGTAATGATAATGATGAGGATGATAATAACGGGGATGAGAATGATGATGGTAATGATAATGATATGGATGATAATGATGATGAAGATGGAGATGAGAATGATGATGGTAGTGAAAATGATGAGGATGGTAATGAAGATGGAGACAACGATAATGATGGTGATACTAAAGATAGTTCAAAGAAACAAAGCTTGACCTCGGAAATAGCATCGCAACCAATGCTAGCAGGTGTTGTTGTGGCAACATCGTTGGGAGCTATTTTTGCTTTTGTAGCTTTGGGTGGTTTGGTGAATAAGACAGGCATTACACCACCAATAGGTAATGAAATCCCGTTTAAATTACTTAAGTATATAATTAATATTTAGTACTATTCAAATTTAAGTGTGGGATTGCCGTGTTGATTGTCAATGTTGAATGCCCATTACTTTCCATAATAGTATTTGAAACTACTTATATCATAATCTATCACCGAGGGGTCTTCGATCTCAACGAGACAAAACTAGTAGGCTAAATGATACAGCAAGTAAAATATTTTTTCAGTCAGAATGACTCAAACCTTTCAGAAAATAATCGTTTTTCGTATAACTCTTCAATTGACACACAATTTTATTTTATTGTCAACGACATTGTTGCTGTCAATAAATAGCAGACACATTGAACTTAACATACCTGTCATTTTAATCTATTTCAATTTTTTTTGAATGGAATTGCAATTACAAAATAGAAGTTGATAATCTTCCCACAACGAAGTATTATTCATCGTATGCATCTACCACACAATACGTCAGTACTACTTTTCCCATAACCACCATGGATGATACTACAACTAGTCCTCATCATTCTACATCAACAGAGAGTGTCAACACAAACACAATCTCATCTACCACTCAGAAGATTACAACTGGCACCAAAACCCCGAGGATAACGACATTAATATCAACAGGTGGTAGCATGACCTCGACCACTACGACACCAGCCACCACAGGTAAATAACTGCTGCATTCAGTAAATTTAATACAACGTGCAAAATTATATAATAATGACAGATAAAACAAAATAGTTGTTTGCTTCCATGACAACACCACATCTGATCAACTCATCAAACCACAAACACAAATATATACATGCATTCATCTAAAATACAGACAGCAAGAATAATATAAAATGCTGCAACAAATTTACAGTGCAACGTGGAACTCGTATAACAATGACAAATAACAAACAATAGGAATTTAAATTCTAGATACAGTTACGGACCTCCCCACCTTTTCTGACATGCCTGATGTTTCTCTTGTTTCCACGAAACCACCTTTGAAAAGTACTCATCAAACCACGAGCCCAGGTATGTAAATGCATTCATATAAATTACATGCGTCGAGAATAATATAAAATTATGCAACGAATTTGCAATACAATTTGGAAACTTGTATAACAATGACGAATAACAAACAATACAAATTTCCAGATTCAGTTACGGACCTTTTCACCTATACTGAAATGCCTGACGTTTCCCTTGTTTCCACGACACAATCACCTTGGAAAAGTACTGATCAAACCACAAGCCCAGGTATGTAAATGCATTATCCAAACATTTTGCAACAAATTTGCACCACAACTTGGGAACTCGTATAACAATGATGAATAACAAACTATACGAATTCATTTTAAATACAGTTACGGACCCTTTCACCTATACTGAAATGCCTGACGTTTCCCTTGTTTCCACGACACAATCACCTTTGAAAAGTACTGATCAAACCACAAGCCCAGGTATGTAAATGCATTATCCAAACATTTTGCAACAAATTTGCAACACAACTTGGGAACTCGTATAACAATGATGAATAACAAACTATTCGAATTCATTTTTAGATACAGTTACGGACCCTTTCACCTATACTGATATACCTGGGGTTTCTCTTGTTTCCACGACACCACCACCTTTGGATATAACTCAAACTCATCAAACAACACCGGGTATGTGCACGCATTGTTGATAGCGTTATTTAGTATTGTGTCTGTGTTACGATTTGAATCATAATTCAATTGCTCATAATAAGAAATATATTTTTCGTTATGAGTTGACTTCATACTTGATTACACTTCCTGAGAAATGAATTATTGTTGCTATATTTAAAACAACTTAAAAGATGCTTATTTTGTTCCCATCTTACACACACGAATCACAATGCCACCTGCTTCCTTGTTGGTCGATTTAGGCCTTTAAATGTTTAAATTGTAGGTATATCATTTTGTGTACGACTTCGTTTTTCTTGTAAGGTGAAATCATTGATCATTCCTTCTAATAAATATGAATGAAGTATCTTAGAAGGAATATATATTTGGTTAATGTTGTACAAACTTAATGCCAGGTTAGGTAGTTGAGACGAGAAAATTAAATTCAAATCTGTGTACGTCTTTTTCTTACAGTGCATCACTAATCATCTATTATTTTCGATTTGATTCAGTCAGGCATTATACTATCATTAGCATGTTAATATGGCCACTCTGACAGATACACTTACACACAGATACACAGATCGAATACTTACAGTAAAAATACCAAATATGCGTTTATAATACAAATTCTCATCTTTCGGTGCGCATAACAAAACCAATGACTTTGCATGTCGATTTTTTAAAATGTCTTACATAGTGTGCCCTTAAATGTGTCGGATGGATATCGATTTTAAATTGATCTGTATGTTTATATTTGAAGACAAACAAACCTAATTGACTAAATCAACAAATATGAGCTTATAGTTCCATTGGAAGTAAAAGACTTCGTAGTATAGCATTGGTATTTGTATGTTACACAGGCAAATAATAGTTGATATAATTCAACTTAAGCAATACTATCATTTTTCACAGCAACTACGCCTTCCATATTATGAACAACTATGCGTGCTCCAATTTGTGTCCGAATAAACCATTACGCTGTTGTCATTTCATATAGGTACAACTGAACTACCAACGACAATATTGACTACTGAATCAACGGTCGTACCCACATCAAGTGGGACTACATTTAATCCAGGTATCTGTCAACACCACACGTGCGTCTACTTTTTCAGCGATTTAATTTTTGTTTAATAAGTAATTCAGGATGCAAGTGCTTCTGAAATTAGACGCGCACCTCAGTCACCTACTCAAAAGAGTTATTCCAAATAACGTCTTATAAACTTCCTCTCACGGTGACTGTTCATAACGTCACAGAGAAATACATGAAAAGCCGGATATGTTCGGTCTGTCTGACCTACTCAGTAAAGTTTTTTCCTTGGGGACAAGTTACATAATGTCCACCAGCAGTGAGAAACATCTGAGTTCCTTTAATGTATGTAAGGCATATTACGGACGTACACGTGTTATTCAAGCCCACGACCAAGGCATAGCGCCCTACCTCTGTAAGTAAATGCGCACCCAGTACGCCACAGTCACCGACCAAACAACGTCTTAATAAACGCGCCCTCACAGTAATTACATAAACACGCGTACGCCGAACTTTTGCCGGCATAGACTACGGCATACATATAAAAATAGTCATGGTCACTCTGACCTGCTCAGTTAAGTTTTTTCCTGGGGACAAGTTACATGATGTCCACTAGCAGTGAGAAACATCCGAGTTCAATTAAAGTAAGTATTAAGTAATGCATATTACGATACATAGAAAATGAAACATAGACGATGATAATAGAATAAACTACGAATATATTATTGTTTATTTAAGTTTTTTTCATGTAATGTTTATATTGCATGGTGCCCATCTATGTTTGAAATTCTATTTTCAGTTACATTTCTATCATACAATAACTATTTTATAACACAGATACGCCATGGAGGTCCGACAATCGATGTGGACCAGATTACCCTCTACCGAATGGTGACCCTATCATTTTCACAGCAACTACGCCTTCCATATTATGCACACCTATGCGTGCTCCAATTTGTGTCAGAATAAACCATTAAGCTATTGTCATTTCATATAGGTACAACACAAGGTACAACTGAACTACCAACTACAATATTGACTACTGAATCAACGGTTGTATCCACGTCAAGTGGGACTACATATAATCCAGGTATCTGTCAACACCACACGTTTATATTTTGTTTAATAAGTAATTCAGGGTGCAAGTATTCCTGTAATTAGACGCGCACCTCACATAGAAAATGATACATAATAGAATAAACTACGAATATATTATCTATGTTTGAAATAATATTTTCAGTTACATTTCTATCATATAATAACTATAATAACAGATACGCCATGGAGGTCCGACAATCGATGTGGACCAGATTACCCTCTGCCAAATGGTGACCCTGGCGAATGTGATCCTGACAGCGCAAGACATTGCTGTTCAGCCACTGGACACTGTGGACACAGTCATATTCAATGTGATTGTCCAACTTGCGTCGATTACAGAGGTTAGTATTTTTCAAATACATTATAAATGTAGGGTCATACATGGTTATAAATGTATTTTAACTGTATAGTTCGTGTTGAAAAATATTCCTGCATATTTTATACTTTACAAGACACATTTGATTAGTCAGATGAATTAGTACATCAAATGGTTACTTCAACTATTTCATTAGCTGGTAAGATTGACTATTGGATAACATGTTTAACGTATTATCCACATGTGCTCTGAAAACATACGTATCAAACTGTAATCGTAGATCTTTATTCTTTGGCTGTACGTAATATCTTAAGTTTGTTTTGTGTCCCTTCATTTGCAAATGTTTTATGACTATGAATTTGAATATGATCTAGGTATTTCTAGGTGTTTCTCGTTTAATTAAATAAATTACATAGAAATGCATTTACCTCGACTTAAGGTAGCAAGACTAGTATTTGCATCCTTGTTTTCATCTTCTAATTGTGACTAAATGACTACAAAAGAAAAGTATATATTTTAAGAATCGCCAGACTTCAAGCTTTTCAAAAGTGTGTTTTTCATGCCCGTATCTGCATTCTATGACGCGTTACATAATCAAAGGTAAAATAATACTTTTTTCTGTACAAAAAATAATTACGCATTCATGCTAGTGATAAGATGTTTTTTCACTTTTCCTAGTTGCTCAATAGTCTGGTAAATTGAATGTGTCTTGTCAGTTTAATTCAAGCAATGCGTTTTAAAAAGTGTGTGCTGAATTTTAATTTCCGTTCCAGTCGCATTGCCCCAACTGAAACCACAACACGTTGGTAAATAATCCACGAAATAGTTTATCTGGACACACTCAAGTTCCTCTCATTGTCACCTTAAAGCTGTGTACATTAAGTATACGTTTGTTAAAGACCTTGTATTTTGAAAAATAAAAATAAACTGCTAGAAAACGTCCATGAAGTCACAGCAAAGATTGTTATGCTTGTTTATGAGCACAATCGATTTGTTTTCCCTTCAAGGTCTGTTTTAACATGTGTAGGGGCATCCAAATGTGTAAAGCTATTGGAAAGCAAAAAAATGAAGGAACTGGATAGCTATAATTCGATAAAATCGGCAGATGAGAACACCAAAATCAATGTTTTTTTTTCAGTGGCTGTGTGACCTTGTGTATGGAAACACTCATTGTGTGTCACATAGCTACTGATAACACATCCTAACATTGATTTCTTGAGTTAATCCTTGAAACTTATAGGCACACAGATTAAACCTGTGTTGTTGATTTTAGAAAACACTACTGAGGCTGCCTTGTTTTCTTCAGAAAATCAACATTTTAACCAACTTACATGACATTCTATGTTATGTTGACTTTATCATATGAAAGTTTATAGTGCATTTCATCAATTAATAAATAAATGTGAAAATCGTAAATTTCAAATGTTTCAGCTTATTATATTTTCCGAGCTTCTTATGTGTGTTTAATAAAAACTCCATGTGTGTTAAATACATATATACAAAAGTATGATATTATTACATAGAAATCTGTTCATTTACATTGCATTTTTTTAATTACGGTTTTATGGGTAATAGAGTTCACTCACAACAACATTCAGAAAACAGTTGAAATGCTGACACGTATAACCAATAACGATTTTTACGCCTTTTTATACAGAAACTGGTTCATCCTCAGCAATGGAAGGTAGGCAGCTAATGTCCGTGTTCGAGTTTTGTAATTTGTTATAGTGTTTTCCAGCTACCAATAAATATCCGTAATACACTTATATAATATATAACAACATGATATATGTTACTTGTTTTTTTATCTTTGCACAACTACAATCACGGTTTCATTACAGAAAAATAAAGAACATCGTTCATTTGGCACAATGACAAATAAAAATTAAAACTTTCAAATTTCGAGTGAATATTTTCACAAACAAACACGCGTTATATCGATTAGATTACGGCTAACAATATATATATGTAATCTTTGGTCAGTTTACAAAAAGCCATTATTGCCAGAAAACAAATAAAACAGGACCTACTTAATTGTTGATAATCATTAAGGATATCTCGTAAAATCCTAGTTGCATATTATGTACCCGGATGCAAACAAGCCGTTAATATTATCTCATAATATTGCAATATACTTGCTCCACGCATATAGTTTATAAATATTTTCAGGTATTCTATATCTTTATACACAATGTATTTTATATCTAAAACAATGATCAAAGGATTCAAACAGTGACAAGATTGCAACTAGGGATGGCCAGCCATATTTATTTACTACGTGAAAAATCTGGTAGTTTCCCCTTGATTTCCATAGCTGATTATTTCGTCAAGGCAAAGTGGGTCAAAATGATTTATGTAATATCACTGATGAAATAAAAGAAAATATTTACGTATTCACTGATTTGGTGTTCTACTTGATAATTCACAATGGATTGTTCAGCCAGTCGTTTGTTTTGTCTTCTTGATTATTGTCTAAAAATCTACGGCCGGGTATGTTATTTTCATTTTCAATCAAGTGATACTTTACTCTTCATGTAAAAATACACATAATGGTTATCTCACTACATTTCGTATATTTCCAGGCAACGTGTGCGATGGTATGTGTGAACAGACATGCATTGCTGATGGCAGACTGTTTGAATGTGGTTGTAATGTTGGTTATACATTAAATGAAGATGGACATTCATGTGATGGTGAGTGCATAATATTGAGAGCATCTGAAGTGTTGTATATTATCATGATAATGATTGACAGTTCAGAACAGTCGGAACTAGACCATAAGATTTATTGGCTTAAAATATTTCAGTTTTCAAATATATTAATATATTTGTAGATATCGACGAGTGTACGCATAGGCTTGGGGGATGTAGTCAACACTGTGATAATACAGATGGTTCGTTTGTATGTTCATGTAATGACGGTTTTTATCTTGCTGGTAATGGAAGAACTTGTCTCGGTATGTATAATCGCCATCCACAATTCTTATTATTTTCGCTCACATTGTATGGTAATAATGCTCACATAATACGCTTGCAATGCTCATATAATATGGTAACAATGCTCACATTATATGGTGAAAATGCTCACATAATACAGTTACAATGCTCACATTATATGGTAAAATGTTCACATAATACAGTTACAATGCTCACATTTTATGGTAAAAAAGCTCACATAATGCAGTTACAATGCTCACATTATATGGCAAAAAAGCTCACATAATACATTTACAACGCTCACATTGTATGGTAAAAATTCTCACATAATACAGTTACAATGCTCACATTATATGGTAAAAATTCTCACATAATACAGTTACAATGCTCACATTATATGGTAAAAAAGCTCACATAATACATTTACAATGCTCACATTATATGGTACCAATGCTCACATAATACAATTACAACGCTCACATTATATGGTAACAATGCTCACATACTACAATTACAATACTCACATAATAGAATTATAATGCTCACATAATACAATTACAATGCTCACATTATATGGTAACAATGCTCACATACTACAATTACAATGCTCACATACTACAATTACAATACTCACACTATATGGCAACAATGCTCACATACTACAATTGCAATGCTCACATACTACAATTACAATGCTCAAATACTACAATTACAATGCTCACATACAACAATTACAATGCTCACGTTATATGGTACCAATGCTCACATAACACAATTACAATGCTCACATAATGCAATTACAATGCTCACATACTACAATTACAATGCTCGCATACTACAATTACAATACTCACATACTACAATTACAATGCTCACATATTATAATTACAATGCTCACATGCTATAATTACAATGCTCACATACTACAATTACAATGCTCGCATAATACAATTACACAGCTCACATTATATGGTACGAATGCTCACATAATACAATTACAATGCTCACATACTACAATTACAATGCTCATATACTACAATTACAATGCTCACATGCTATAATTACAATGCTCACATGCTATAATTTCAATGCTCACATGCTATAATTACAATGCTCACATGCTATAATTACAATGCTCACATACTACAATTACAATGCTCATATACTACAATTACAATGCTCACATGCTATAATTACAATGCTCACATACAACAATTACAATG